TTTTTGCGGTACGCGGGCTTCTCACTGTTGTGGCCTTTCCCGTTGCGGAGCACAGGCTCCGGACGCGCAGGCTCAGGCCATGGCTCATGGGCCTAGCCACTCTGCAGCATGTGGGATCTTCCTGGACTGGGGCACGAACCCGTGTCCCCTGCATCGGCAGGTGGACTCTCAACCGCTGTGCCACCAGGGAAGCCCTAATTGTTATATTTAACATATGTTAATCCATTACTTGATTAATGAATTATAAATGAATTTTTTTTTTTGGCTTAAGTTGATTTTATCAACTAAATGGTAGAGAGATTAAGAGCTTCTTTGTATTCTGGTTTTCATTTTCATATTCTTATTGCAAAGATCAATTAAATGTGTTGGCAAGAAAACACTGAAGAAACTTAGATTGTATATACTAATTAATAATGTCCGGTAACTGATGTTAACAAAGTTATATCAATGTTATGACACAATATATGAAAGAAAAGTACAATTTTTTTTTTTTTTTTTTTTTTTTTTTTATTTTTTTCCCTCAGAAAACAAATCTGAACCGGGCTGTGGGGAGAAAGGGAGGGAGGTTCCTTCGGAGGAACCTGGGGAGGGACCTTAAAAGTTAAGTGTTCCGTATGGAGACTCCCGCGTCTCCTGCATCGGCAGGCGGACTCTCAAGCACTGCGCCACCAGGGAAGCCCCGAAAAGTACAATTTCTAGTTTATTTCCCATTTATTCATTTATAATAACTTTGCTCAAAGTTAAGCACATTATAAGAGGACAAAGAATGAATGTCAGGTGGGTCTTCCTTCTCACATTTGTCTGGCTATTTTATAAAAACTATACATATACACGTGAAATGGATTAATGAAAAAGCAACAGAGCATGTGATGAAAGTATATTGATTTGTCAAAATGAAATCTATAATAATTTAGGAGGTTATGAATTAACCTTGACCCTGCCATTTCTCTTTACCTCATTTCTTACATTTAGTCCCCAAATCCTATTCCTTCTAACTAAAAAGTATTTCTGGTATCTATCCATTTCCCTTCATTCCTACTGCCCCCATTTTGGTTCAGGCCATCATTATCTCTTACCCCAAATTATATAACTTGTCTCTCTCCAGTTTTATTTTACTTGATTGATTCTCTACCATAGCCGGAATAATCTTAAACTACAAGAATGATTGTGTTGATAGATTACCATTCCCCTGAAGATTAAGTCCATACTCTTTAAATGGCTTCTGAAGAGTCCTGTGATTAGACCTTGGCTTACCCTTTTAGCCTCATCTCTTCCCTGTGTCCTACTTAAACTTTATGGTCGAACCATGCTGTATTTAGCATTAGTTGAATATGATCTGCTCAGGATCTTCTCAGTTTTAACAGTACTTCCTTAGGAAGACCTTTTCTGATCCCTAGATTAGGGTCAGATGCCCTGCTATCACTCTTATATCACCTCTTAATTTTCTGTTGTAGCAAAACATACTTGTTTAATTATCTGCTTTTGTGATGTCATATCTTATGTTGTCACAGATTTTCTAGCACAGTATCTGACACATAGAAGATGTTTAATATTTTCTACATGAAGAAATAAATTTAGAAAGGGAGATAGATGTTTAGATAGCTCTTAAAGAATGAGTACCTATTTTGTTTACAAAAAGAGAGTAAATATTGCATATATAAATCATATTTGCCTACATATGATTTCCCATTCAGGCCTGTCATTGTATACATACAGCCAAAATACCAAACCCTTTGAACATATGCAGTTAGAGGCAATAATTTCTCTAAGAGCATAATGTGGATCAGGCTACCAAAGAAGACTAATTTCTTTCTACAAATAAAAATTGGATATATTTAAGGTATAATAGTTTCCCCTAGATTTATTAAGATATAATTGACATATAACATTGTGTAAGTTTAAGGTGTACAACATGTTAATTTGATACACTTATATATTGCAAAATAATTACCACCATCGTGTAACTTTTAAGTATATAATACAATATTATTAACTATAATCATTATCCTGTTTAGATCTCTAGAACTTACTCATCTTGTAACTGGAAGTTTGTACTTTTGACCAACATCTCCCTTATGCCCCTACCCCTCAGCCTCTTAAAGAAGCCCAATTTTTAAGACCCATTTTGACTAGTCTCCATGATAATACAAATTATGCTCATATGCTCATCAAATGTTGTGAGTGGAAATTTATACTGGTTCGTAATTAGTCTACAGTTACCTGAAACATTTTCTGTATAACACTTTAGCTATCATTAAATTTCATTTAGTTTATATCATAGGTATATAAATAAAGCATTCATAGGTATATAAAGAAAATATCCATTAATTCAGGCTATACATAATGTGAAGAGTGTTTTAGGGTAATATATTGTACTTGTTGTCCCAATTTTGCATTCAATTAAATATATTATAATTTTAATCTTTGTTTTATTTCTAAAACATAATCTTTTATCACATGGTAAAGAGAAAGTATTTACATTTATAATTTTAGAGGATATTGGTTTTCTATTATCAGATTACTTTATTAATCTTTAAATTCCTTGATTCTACTCTTTTGTGGAAAAGAAAGCATTACAAGAACCCTGATGAACACAAATAAGATGCAATGAAAAATCACAATAAAAATGCCAATAATGTAGGTTTAATTCCTAGATTTAGATTTAACCATACAGTTTTGGAATTTGATAATAGCATGTTGTCTTTTACATATTAAACTCTGTAGGAGATATTATACCTTTTATAATAGTGTAAAAGCTATTTTGATTTGAAGCATGTTGTTCTGAAGAATATGAAATAAAAATGAAGTTCATGAGAATTTAAAAAGTGAATATGCATTTACCTATTTATCTATCTACTGTTATACACAATTATCAAAGATTGCCAGAATAAAAACTCATCATTTTTAGGGACTTAAATTTTGATGGGTTGGATGAGTGACGATACACATGGTTTGGAGGAAAGAGTCCTTTTTTAGAGTATAATTTTGCTTGTTAAATCATTAAAGCTTAGTTATATATGGAGAAAACTGCCTAATAATTATGAACTAACATTTTAACATGGCATTTACAACAGATACATTAGACACAATTAAATAGAATGTTGCTTATTTTTAAAGGAATGACAAAAAAAATCAAACTTTCCTTGGCATGTGAAATCTTTATATTATCAGGAGTGGGAAATCTGAAAGATGTGGTTCATTCTCTGTTTGGATGATGCAGAATTGCTCTAAGCAGTAAGCTTACTGTTTTCAGACAGCATTAGCAGCTTTAGCAAATACAACTGTGTCATCCTCCCTTAATACGCAGTGTTTGTAACTGCAAAGGGGAGATGATAAACAGCATATGAGATCTGATATCTTCATGATGACTTAAACAGATACTGATGGACAGATCTGCTGTTTGATGTTTTATTCACTAGCCTTGAAGATGCTGAGACATAGAGATGGCTGTGATTATCTTTTGTAAGACAGGAAATGCAATCTTTAGGGGTCTCTGGAAATAGAAGGGTTATGCAGTCTGGAACCTGTGAGCCTTTTCAATCTCTAAGTCATCAGGTATGACATCATGAATTATGATTATACCATTAGATTGTAGAGTTATTGCTTTTTCTAGCTCTTAGTCATTTACAACATATTAATCAATGTAATTGTTTATCATTAGATTTTCCTTAGGGTATTTGAACAAGTAATATTTATAGCACTAGATACCAATTAAACAATATGAATTTTAGAAATGTGTGTGTGTTTAAGTTTGTGTTTACTGTAGCTTTTTATGAGGAAGTGGGAGGTAAGGAAATAGATTCTTTGTATGTGATTAAGGGCAAGGTTTTGGGCTCTACAGATTTTTCCAGATTAAACCTGAATACAGTCAAATTGCATCTTTTATTTCAAATGATGAAAATAGCATAAATTGTTCAAAGTTATAAGGATACACCATAGCTAGCTGCTTGTATATAGTGACATATTAAAAATTTTTATCTGGGATTACTTAAGCATAGAAATAGATGTTGCTACCATTGTACTGTACAACCACACAGCAACCCAAGTGTGATGAGTAGAATCATGTTTATCAGCATCTGAGCTATTTTCCTGAAATTTGTGTTTCAGTATCTAAACTATTTTAGAAGGCATTACTTTTAATCATTTCTCAGATCTATTGAAATAATTATGCTCTTTGTCTTCTTAATGTAGAGATCTTCTAAGGTATTGCTTATAGATTAAAGTAGATGATAAATCTGTTTTTTGTTTTGGTTTGGTTTTTTACACAGAAATCTGGTGACATATAAGCCTGTTTAATGTTTTTGACCCAGAGATATTCTACATTTGTTTACTTTCATTTTCACAATGAAAAGACTTGACTACATTAAACATGTTAACTACAAAGAGTAGAAAATCATCACAGCAAAGAATTTGGATTTATATATCTATTTTATGCTGAAACTCTGCTATTTATTTTAAACCACTTTTCCCTATCACGTTTAATTTTGTTTGTTATAGCATGTCCTCAGAATTACATGCTTGGGTAAGAAACTGTGCCTCTGTTTGACATTCAGATTTTGAAGGAAAATTATTGTATTTTTTTATGTTATAATATTTCTGCCTCAGTATTAGGGGACTTGGCAGATACTTGACAAGGCATTCCATATTAAATGAGCAAAAAGAGAGAAAATGTTGCAGCATTTCTCAGCAGAAACATACTTTTGTCTTCGTGATTCCATAGCTTGATTAGAATTTAATAGCTCATCATGGTAAAATGATGTATTAAATATGAATATATTTATCAAAAGACTGAAGTGGAAGTCTGAAACAGTGATTTGATTCAGTTAAGGGGTCAGTTTCTCCTTTTTAATTAAAAGCACACTAAAAATTATACCTACTGATATTGGCTATAATTTATAGTTATTCAGGCTACTTAGTCAGCTTAGATTCTTATTAGCAGGGAAGACTGCCATATTCTTAAGCTTGATTAGTTTTGGAATGATTTGAATATACCTTTTAGTTGCTACAAAACCTGTTTAATCTGTTAGAATTTATTTCCAGTATTTGCATGTATTAGTCACTATGAGTACATTCTGTTTCTTGGCATTGCTTTGGGATTCCTCTAGGTATTGGTTTCACAACATTCTGCTAGTTTTTCACTGTATTTTTGACCTTTCAAGAGAACCAAACCATAAAAATTCTTAGTTACCTTCTTCAGTGGCACTTAAATGAGGATATCTCAATAATTCTGTAAGGTGAAAAAAATTACTGTCTTAGAGTTATTTCTTTTACAAAGTGGAGAAAAATTTCTCCTTGTTGCTATGTCAAAATATATAACATTAAAAAATTAAGATTGATTAAAATGTCACAGACATTTAATGTAATGTCAGCCTTTTTCCTGTACAGCAAGATGATCTTGACCTTTTGAATGGTGAAACTGATTGTACATCTGCTCAGTAACAATTGGTCATCTTCTTTTAGCAATGGTTGCCTCTACCTGTACCATTTTATACATGCGTTTCATTATATATAGTAAAGGTTTCTGAAGGTAAGCTGTCTGTAAACAACTATTTGAGTAATTGTTCAATTGTAAACAACTATTTGAGTAATTTGAGTAATTGTGAAATATGATCATTTGCACAATACTGTATGTGGTGTGAGGAGAATACAGAAAAGAAAGAGTTGTTTCCTGCTTTGAAGATTATGAGAAAATGTACATAATGAGCTATGTTCACATTTTGAATTGACTTTTCAAAAGTGGTATGCTACAGTCAGTTTTAATTTAATTTATAAATTGGTGAATCTTAGGATGAGTTACATATAATTCTTTTTATCCTCATGTAAATCTCTTGATATTAGAGAAATAAAAGATTGGGTCAAACTGTATAATCAAGCATTTTGTAATTTTGATAACTGCATTAACTTCTTTTATAACACATTAAATTCTTTTTATTAGGGCATTATAAACTGTGAATAAATAAAATAACATTGTAAGTTTTATAAGCCATAGTTTTCAATTTGAGAGTGAAGGGAGATCTAGCCCACTGGCAGGAGGCAGAAGCAGGAACCCCAGGAATCAGCTCAAAACAGGGATGTGACCAATCCAGTATAATTCCAGGCTAGGCATAGGTCATTATGTATTATGGAAGGGGGTTTTGATTTAGTAGGGATTAAACTTTGGAAACAAGGCGTAACAAGTTTGGAGTGTTTAATGCTAGGTAGGTCATTTATGGAGTACTTTGAATAAACTGGGGAGGATAGGATTCACCTTAGTCTCTGAGGAAGAAGACTGGGAGGAACTAGTAGGGAAGTAGACCTTAACCAGCTGGCTGTTAGACATCCAAGTGCTACTGTCTTCTCTTTCGTATCAGTGTGCTGGCTGAAAGCAGGGAGGTGGGTAGAGCAGATGCAGAAACCTTGTTTCCCTAGAATCCTAGATTGGAGCATGCTGCTCAATAGTGCCTGTTTTCTTGGATTAGAGCAATAGAAAATTGATTTACAAATTCTTCTGGTTTGTATAGTATGGTAGTGAAGCATCCAGACTGCCGTGTTCACTAGGTTCAAATCTTAGCTACACCGCTTACTAGCTGTATGATCATGGGCAAGTTATTGAACCTTTCTGAGTATCAGTTTCCTCAGATGTGATATAGGGATAGTAATGGTGCCTACCTCAAAGAGTTGTGAAGATCAAGCAAGTTAATGTATATAAAGTACCTCTAAGAGTACTGGTATATACTAAGCACATTACTGCCAATGTTATTTATTGGCATTATTGACATTATTATGTACACCCTTAGAGCTAGGATGGGCTATTGGTAATGGTCGTCATGAGTTTAATTTTGATCTCTCTCCCTCACTCTTCTTATCAAGTAAGAAATTCAGTCAAAAACACGTGGTACACTGAAGTAAAGATGGTTATAAAAATGCAAACAAGAAAAACATGCTACATCTGACTAAATTCTAACATTGACTGACTATAAGAATTGTGACTTGATGAAAAATTTTGTTTAAAGTTTTTTTGCACCTGCTTACTAGCCTGATTTAAACTTCTATTAAGATCCTATGTGTAGAGATCCTTTGCTTTCCTATATTTTACCAACTACTTCATTAGAGGAAAATTACTGGGTCTTTGGGAAAACTTAACGACAATGTCAGGTCTTCTTTAGTAACAGTTGGAGATTAAAATTAAGGAGTAAAATCAAGGTTTAAATAAAATAATAAACAAGTTATATAGTTTAGGTTTAATGATCTGAGTTATTTTTTAAATCATAAAAAATGTCTTCGACAGAAACTTCACTGAAAATTATACTCAGCTTGTTTTAGTAATTTTTTAAAAAAATTATTTATTTATTTATGGCTGTATTGAGTCTTCATTGCTGCACGTGGGCTTTTTCTCGTTGCCGTGAGCAGGGGCTACTCTTCGTTGCACTGCGCAGGCTTCTCATTGCGGTGGCTTCCCTTGTTGCAGAGCGCGGGCTCTAGAGCGCAGGCTCAGTAGTTGTGGTGCATGGGCTTAGTTGCTCCGTGGCATGTGGGATCTTCCCAGACCAGGGCTCAAATCCATGTCCCCTGCATTGGCACGTGGATTCTTAACCACTGTGCCACCAGGAAAGTCCCTACTAATTTTATTTGTTAATGAAAATTTTTATTCTAGATGAAAGACTAAAATGAAATATGCTATAAATACAATGCTATATATGAATAAGACAGTTCAAGTTCTTATTTGATAGAGTATACTATTTTGAATTGCTGGTGTTATTTAATGTAAGAACATCAATTTGCTTAAAAATTGCCAAGCTCCTAAGTACAAGTGTGTAATTTGATATTTGGATGAAATCTAAATCTAAATCTTAAATAATCTTAAGTGTTACATTTTGTGACATTTTTGCATTTTAGTTCTCTTCTCTTGAGAAATTTTCTCAATGTGCAGCTATTTCCCCAAATTGGCACACAGTCAATCAAATCTCAGCACAATGCAATTTGTTAAAACAAACAAAAACCCAAACATACAGAACCCTACAGTGTTCCAGTAAGCGCAGTACTGGATGTAAAGGATGTAAAGACCAATGGGTCCCTGCCTTCAGGAATTCATAGGTAGTGAATTGTAAACACTAAATACAAGTAACTATAACAGAATGTGGAAAGCACTGAGTGCCACAGAGATTCAAAAGAGATATGAAAGAAGCATAAATTATTCTGCTATGAGTTCAGTGGACAGAATATGTCAAGCTGAGTGGGGAGAGAAGAAGAGAAGTTAGATGGGGAGTTGGGGAAGTATGGTAATGTAGCATCTGAGTTAGACCTTGAAGAGTGGCCAAGATAGGGAAAAGGTCATTTTGGGCAGAGGAAACAACATGAGTAAAAGTTGGGAGACAGAAAGCAAATAATATGTTTGAGTAGTATGGAATAGTTCATTTTGGCTTATAACCTGTTGGGGTAATTCAAACTATCACAGGGAAGATTTGTTGGGACCAGATAATGCAGAATCTTGAGTGTTAGATTATGATTACTAAACTGAGAACATTTCTGTGCTGAACTACTTGTTCTTGGGAGAAAATAAAATAAAAAGCAAAGGA